CAGTACACAAACAGAACACATTCCTTTAATGTAACTTTATGGAGCACAGTTAAGAGATAATAAACCCAGTGTATAATTTAGTCTCAAATTCATTCTAATGCTAGCTTAAGCAAAATAAGGGAATGTTTAAACTATTGTAATACTCAGAGTCAGTCAACTGAAAGTAACTATATATACAATAGAAAGCCTGAAATTTTATTCAGGACCTTTAAAAGTACACATTTCCTTGGAACACCATGCAAACTTTCCTCTACATAAGCCAGAAATTGAATGACTTACATTCAAATGCCTATTTAAAATTATATTATTCCCATGGCTATGCAAGCTGCAATGCTATCACAAAGCTTAATGTCATATACATTAGTTAAAAAGCAATTTAATGACTCCAGATGGACACAAGGTTTGTTGGGGGATGGAGGGGGTAATGGAAATGTTTTAAAATAAGAATGTAGTTATGGTCTATACAACTCAACATACTTACAATCACACAGATTACAAATTCTATTACAAAACTTAAGAAAAAAAAAAAGGTGGCACCCCAAATGACCATCAGTATAAACTAAGATGCTGTTCCAGGTAGGAAAGGCTATAAAAGCAAATTTTCGTGTAAAGTTATATTCCCCATCAAAGGCTTAATTAATCTATCGCCCATTCTTTTTTTTAATGTAATAGTTTATTTTTACATCATTTTGTACATTTTTTTAATCTCAATTGTAATCCCCGTGGGTTTCCCATCACTGAGTCACCCATGTGCCATCACCATAGTCCCATGCACTTCTCTCCCCACCTCCACACCCCCAGTTTTTTATCCATTCCCCATTTCACCCCCACAAAACGTCTCTGGTCATTTTGACTTCGTTATTCTTATTATTTTCTCGCCTGGTCCATTATACTCCTGCTATGAGTGAAACCATCTGGTATTTTGGTATTTTTCTTTTTCTTTCTGGCTTATCTCACTAAGTATGATCTTTTCCAGCTCCATTCAAGTTGCTGCAAAAGATATGTTTCTTTTCTTTTTTTTTTTTTTTGGTTGCTGAGTAATATTCCATTGTATGTATGTACCATATCTTTTTAATCCAGTCATCTACTTTTGGGCATTTGGGCTGCTTCCATGTTTTTCCAATTGTAAATAAAGCAGCAATAAACATGGGGGTGCAGGTATCTTTTTCAATCAGTGTTTTTGTATCTTTTGGGTAGATACCTAGGAGTGGGATTGCTGGGTGGTAGGCGATCTCCCATTCTTTATCACACTTTTTATAGAGCTTCAAACACCAAGTTCTTAACTTTTTAATTACTATAGATACACCGTTAAGTACAATAAGCAGGACTATGTATTTTGCAAGCCATCATTTGTGCAAGTACTGGGGGGGAAATCCCAATTTTGGGTGAAAGCTTCAACTCTTTACTGATTTCAATTTATGTGTGAAATCAAGTTACCATTCTACAAGAACTTTTTATCAATATGTACAAAATACTCCTTTCAAGGGAGGATACTATCAGCTATTAAACCCTAGGCTCTGAAATTCCTCAAGGGCCACTAACACTTAAAGTCAAATGTAGGAGAGTGAGGAAAAGCAGGAATCAGAGATCATTTTGTGTACTGAAGGGGGGGGGAGGGGTGTCAGGGAAAGACACCAAAACATAAATAAAAATATAAACAGCAGTGGCCCTCCCTGGTGGCACAGCGGGTTAAAGTACAGAGGGTTAAAGCACAGCATTAAGAAGCTAAAGCCACTTCATCATAAATTAGATCCCGGCCTGCCCCAGAGGTGATCCACATGGAGCAGCAGACCTCTCCTGACACCCCCGCTGCTCCCCTCAGCAGTATACTTTGTCATTCTGCCTGTTCTGCTCCCCATTCTATCTCTGGTGAAGCCTCTCACTGCCCCTGCACCTCTGGCCTGTACCCCAGTTCTGTATGCACAAATAAATAAATCTTTAAAAAATATATATAAAAACAGCAATTATCTTAAGGCAACTTTAGTTTTTCCTGACAGCTTCTAAATTTCTTACTGATCAAATATAACTTTAAAAAAGTACTTGAAATTGGCCCTTCCTGGTGGCACAGCGGGTTAAAGCACAGCCCGAGACTAAAGCCAATTCATTTAGCACGAATTCAATCCCCCAGGGAGGTTATCCACATGGCCCTATAGACCTCTCCTGACCCACCCACTGCTCCCCTTAACAGTGTACTTTGTCCATCTGGTTTGCTCCCCACTCTGTCTCTGGTGAATCCTCTCGCTACCCCTGCATCTCTGGCCTGTACCCCAGTTCTGTATTCATAAATAATCTTTTCTAAAAATTACTTAAAATTATGCTGCTACTACACTAAATGCAAAAGGCCGGACTCAAAACTCACTGATGAGCCTACACATAGAACATTCTGGTAAATGCAAAATCATAGAGAAAGATAATTTAGATAACACCCTAAGGTCTAGGGGGTTGAGACTTACATACAAAGAGGCTTGGATAAAACTTTGGAATTGAGTGATATATTCCTTGTCTGTCATGGAGGTGATGGTAACAAAACTACTAGTATTTATCAAGGCTCATGTAAGTGTACATCCAATTAAAAAAAAAAAGGATGCTTTTGGGCCTTCCCATGTGACAGAACTGCTTAGTTAAAGCACAGCACTGCTAAGCTAGCTGCAGCCACTTCAGCAAGAGTTCTATCCCCCACGGAGTTTGATTCTCACCCCCCACCCCCACCCAGGTGACCCACATGGCCCAGCAGATCTCTCCTGAGCAGTGTACTTCTTCATTAGGCCTATTCTGCTCCCCACTGTCTCTGGTGAATCCTCCCTGCCCCCACACCAGCTCTCTATAAGAAATAAATCTTTAAAAACAAAAAAAAAGGTGAATTTACCATGTGCAAGTTAATCTCCAAAATTCAAATAGTTAAAAATACCAAATTGCTTGTACCTATTTAAGTGTAATTATTTTAGTAAACACAAATGTGGCTGGATTCCTTTCTAAACTTTGCCCTCCTCCCCAAAAACAGCTTCCTTGCTTTGTTAAGTAAAAATGGATAGTAACAAAATCGAAAATCAGTAGACTTGAAAGTGTGGATAGAGACTAACTCTACTTTTATGGTCCCAAACGGGAACGCTTAATTTACTATGGATTGAAATAATAGTAATGGGAGGGTAAAAGATTACAAACATCTACTAAACTTTCAAACTGTTAATTTCAAAATCTTATCCAATGTAGCTTGTATAGAAGCCCATCAACATAAAAAACACCTGGTTTATAAATATTGCTACCATTTATATTATATTGAAAAAGAAAGCAATGATCCTTTCCTATTTTTCAATATACCTCGAAAAAAGCACACACCTCCATTACACATGAACTGTATAGCCAAATAGTGAGAATCTGAAACTTTCTCTGTGCTGGGAGACTGATACAAAATGATAAATTTCCTACCCTGAGAGAAGTGTAACACTTTATGAACAGTACAACTGTATCTGCAGCTGTTAAGAAAAGGCAACCATGAGGTATCTATCAGTAAAAACAGAAGTCAATGAAATACTCGAATTTCACTCAAGTTCTTTGACATCGTTATAAACCTGCACTAAATACAACTCGTCACGCATTAAGACTACTTTCTACCAGTCATTTTTATGTTGACCACCTAAAGAGATTTAAAATTGTAAAAAGCTTAGAGATCCTTCATAAGCCAACTGTGATTCCCTACTGCCATTAACCACGTGACAGTTAAACCAAATCCACATTAACTAAGTCCTGAAACTAGAAAAGGAAAAACGCTTAAAAAAAAAAAAAAAACCAGTAAATTACAACCACAAAAATAAAGTCCCCTGGGACAAAAGGTACGATGAAATGAAACCCAGTGAGGCTACTACATACTGTGTAAGCACAATACTCACTCCTGTGTTAGGAGAAGGCCCTCCATAAAAATAGCCAGGACTCTCAAACATTTGAGATACTGGCTTAGCGAGAATGAGTGACAGACAACAGCTGGGAGCCTTGTATTGATCTTGTAACGTCCTGGCATGCTTTTGGAAAACCGGAGAATTAGAAAGGCCTGTTACAGGGGCAAAGCCAAACGGTAAGGGCTTCATTCTCAGTTATGCGCCCCCCTACAACTGAAGCCTATATTTAATTCCTCTTGTTTCCCATCCCCAATCCCACAGTAATGCATCGCTTTCCTCCTCAAGCAAACAAAAAAACGGGGGGGAGGGGGCGTGGGGGGGTAGGACACCTTCCGAAAACATCGTCCAAGTGATATAAAGAATCCAGTCACCTAGCCACCTGTCTTCCCTTATTCATTTCATTAACGCTTCCTTTTTCAAAGCCTAGAACTCTTCTCGCCTTTCTTCCGTAATAGAGGGGCTGAGGCGCCGCCCAATTTCAGAGGCCTCAAAAATATTTCATCCCGCCACATTTCAAGGTATTCTGGCTTTCTCTCTTTGATTCCAACCCTCAGCTCGGTACCCTCTTCCCCTTCAGACTCTCAAGTTTATTAGCCCAAAACGCGAGCACAAAGGTGAATTCCTCAGATTCCGCGAAGTGCCCCCCCAGGGGGTGGGGAGGGGTCAGAGCTGTGGGCCGACGCACTCCCGCTCGGCCCAGTCCGAGGGGCGGGGGAGCGGCCTCGACCACACAATCCCACCACCTCCTTTCAAGACTCCCCCACCTCCTGGCGCTCAGGCCTGCTCCCAGCGACCTCTCCGGCGCCCAGCAGCCGCGCGACTTGTCCTCATCCGCCCGCGTAAGGCTGCACCAGCACCCAAAATTAAGATTCACAAATAGGAAAACGCAAGAAGTGTCCGACGTCTTGTTTCAAAACATAACGGAGCCCGGGCCCCTGAGACCGTTAAACCGCGGGTTGAGGGGGGAGAAGCGAGGGATTCAGCGGCCTCCAGCTTTGGCCTGCTTGTCCTTTTCGACCCCAAGCGCCACTCTTCGGAGCCACCAACCCTCTCCCCTACCTACCCTAGCCCCAGGAAGACCCGACAGAGCGGCAAAAGGGTCAGTACCTTGTAGAAAGCCCCGTTGGAGCCACGAACCTCCACCGTCAGCTCCGCCATGTTGGAACCGCAAAGGCCGCTGGGAAGAGGTTCTAGAAACTTTCCAACCAGAGGGGAGGAGGGGGGAGGGGCGTAAAGGAGGCGGGGGGCGGGGCGGGGAAAGTAGGGCGGGGACTGGGATCCCCCGCCCCACACCCTTGGGGTCTTGTCGCTCAAGGCCGACTCTGGTGGGATCCCTCCGCTCCTTACATCACTTGCAGTGGGCTCCGCCCGTCGCTGCCAGCGCACCCCTCGCTCCCGACATAATCGCACGACCTTTGATGACCCGCCCCCAAGTCCCCGCCTCCCAGCGCCAGCCGCTTGCGGGGCTCCGGCAGCTACGGACCTCCTTCCGCCTGGTAATGACCTGTCTGGACTCTGTGGGCAGCACACGTGGGCTTGGGGCTTCACTTGGGCATTCTGCCTTTAAACTTCTTGGACTGCTGTTAATCCTGAAATAGCTTCCCCACCTAAGGAAGGTCAACCTTGGGGGCTCCGATTGCTACTAGCACAATTTTTACGGGATGATGGACCCTCAAAATGTATAAATTGTGCTCACGTTCTTGCACCTTGCTTTTTAGAAACCAGCGCCCTACTTTTACACAAATGCAGTTCCGGACTTTCTCACTCTGTTCGGTTCGGTGGAGTTCTCTTACCACCTGTTACCGCTTTAGCTGTTTAAAAGCCAATTTAAGTATTCTCATTTTGGGGTTTTCCGCAACCTACAGTAATTCCGCAACAGCAGTAATTCTAACAATTTGTTAGAAGTAAATTGTTAGAAGTAGTCAGGGAAACAGTAGAGCGGGATCCCTGTTTATCCCTGCTGCAGTGCAAACGATGTTCACAAATAGGATCAAAGCAGAATCAATTTGATTGATTTTTCTACGAGCAGTACTCTGTAGGAGAGTACCCTAATACAATAAGCATTAAGACACATACTTTGAATATCTATTTTAAGAGTTCTAAAATTTGTTTCCCAAACCAGGCCTTTGGAAATGATACTAAAGGGACGCCTTGTGTATATGTTATCATTTTAACAGAAAAACTTTTATGAAAGAATGTTTTGCTGGCCTTCCATGATCTGGAAAATGCCCACCGACCCAGGCTTTCTGGGGAGAGAGTTCTTAAAAAATGTATATAAGAGAGGATCAACACATCTCCAAAGACATAAAAGAAAGGAAATAGGAACTGCAAAAATACTCAATAGTTTAGTACTTTGTACACAATGTTCATTTGAAAATGTCGATCTTAGTGAGGAAAATATAAACAAATGAAATACTCATCAATGATTTATAGCCACCACTCAGGGCTTCTCTCCAACACGTTATACATCTTATTATAATCTAGTAGGTTTATAATACACTAGTTTATTTTTTCTATAGCTTTTCTGAGGTAGAATTCCATGCCATAAAATTCATCCATTTAAAGTGTACAATTCAGTGATTTTTAGTATATTCAGAGTTGTGTAACTATTACCACAATCAATTTTATAACACTTTTATCCCTCCAAAAAGAAAACCTGTTCTTCTTAATTATCGCCCCACACTCCCGTGTTCTAGGCAAACACTAATATATTTTCCTAAACATGTTTCCTAAACATTTCATATAAGTTGGTTATAAAATATGGAGTCTTTTGTGATTAACTTTAACTTTGAATAGTGTTGAAATTTCACCTGTGTCATGCTATGAACCTTCTCTTTCCTTTTTTAGTGTGAAATATACCACTGAATGGATACACATTTTATTTATTAATTTATCCATTGATAGACATTAGGTGGCTTTTACTTTTTTGACTGGAATTAATGTTCTGAAGATTCCTATACAAGTTTTTGTGTAGACAAATGTATGGCTTCATTCTTGGTTATGTATCTAGAAATGGAATAGTTGAACCATAGTTAACTCCCTGTTTAATCTCTTGAGGAGCTGCGGGACTCTTTTCCAAATTGGCTACACTATTTGCATCATATGAGATTCACCAGCAATATGAGATTCTAAGTTTGTTTGCCACTGTTCTGTCTTTCTCTTCTCTCTCTCTCTCCTTGCCTCCCTCTCTTCTTACATATATTTGGACTTCAGTGTATTGTTTTGTTTCTCAGTACTGATGACAGTAGGGCTGTAAAAATTCTATTTGGACACAGATTAAAGATTTCCACATTATCTGAATTTTTTTAAAAGATTTATCTATCTGTGCATATAAGAACTGGGGTACAGGTGAGTGGTGTGGGTGAGGGGAGGGGAGGGGAGGGGAGCAAATTCACCAGATACAGATTGGGGTGCAGAACAGGCAGATGTACTGAAATACATTACTGAGGGGAACAGCAGGTGGGTCAGGGGAGGTCTGAATCATGTAGGTGACCTCCTTGTCGGGGAATTGAACTCTTGCTGCAGTAACTGTTGATGGCTTTATAATGCTGTGCTTTAACCTGTTGCGCCACCAGAAAAGGTCCCAAATTGTCTGAAATTTGAAGAATAAAAGTTGGACACCCTTCTCAATTCCTACACCTATTAGGTAGAGCTTATGATTTCCATTATAGAATTGAGTTTTGATAGCAATGCTACATACCAAAGATCACACAAATTATAAGTAGTAGAAGTAGGATTTAAGTCCTTTTTCGTTTCCAAATTAGCATTAAAGATTTTTTAAAGATTTATTTATTCATAAATAAAAACTGAGGTACAGGCCAGAGGCACAGGGGTGGTGAGAGGATTTACCAGAGACATAGTGGAAAGAAGAACAGGTGGATAAACAAAATATACTGCTGAAGGGAGCAGCAAATGAGACAGGAGAGGTCTGCTGTGCTGTGCAGGTCACTTCCCAGGCTGGGGATCAAACTTGCACTGAAGTGGCTGTGGCTAGCTTGCAGTGCTGTGCTTTAACCTGTTTCATTTCCAGGGAAGGCCTGCATTAATGATTTTTTTTATACCCCAAAGTTCACCCTGAACATATACAAAATAAAACATTACACATACTTTACAGTGTCTGATGGAGATCTATTTTTATCATCTTAAAAAGATTTTTATAGCAAAAAGAAAAGATAGCAATTATTGCAGTAAAATTGGACAAAAAAAATTTATATTTTTTAATTTGAAAGAGGAAAGTAGCAAAATATGTAATCACATTTAAAATATAATCTGTACAGACACTTCTCCAAAGAGGAAATGCAGACATTAAGTATATGAAAAAATATTCAACATCACTTATAATCAAGGAAATGCAAATCAAACCCACAATGCTCCCTGGCAGCGCAACTGGATTAAAGCACAGCACTATGAGGCTAGCTGCTTCAGCAAGAGTTCCATCCCTACCAAGGTGACCCACATGGTGTGGTAGACCTCTCCTGTCTGAACCACTGCTCCTCTCAGCAGCGTACTTAATCAGTCTTCATGTTCTGTTCCCCACTCTGTCTCTGGCGAATCCTCCCACCACCTCTGTGCCTCTAGCCAGCACCCCAGTTCTGTATGCATAAATAAATAAAGAATTAGTATGCAAGAATTTAGTGTGTGAGAATGGCACATACTAAAAACAAGAAACAACAAATGTTGGCAAGGATGTGACAAAAAAGGAACTCTACTACACTGCTGATAGGAGTGCAAACTGGTCCAACCACTATGGAAAGCTGTGTGGAGGTTCCACAAAATACTAAAAATGGTGCTTTCATATGACCCAGCAATTCCACTCCTAGAAATCGATTGAAAAGACACAAAACATTAATTCAAAAGGATACCTATAACCCTATTTTATTGCAGCACTATTTACAACAGGTAAGATATGGGAAAAAACCCAAATCCCCAAAAGCCAATGAATGGAACAAGAAGATGTGGCGGGCCTCCTTGGTGGATCAAGGGGTTACTTAAGTCTCATCACAATGAAGCTATGGCTCCAGCCCCTGCAGCAAGAGTTCGATCCTCCTGCCAGGTAGCTGACCCACCTGGTGCAGCAAATCTTTTCTGTCTTGACCACTGCTCCCCTCAACAGTGTATTTCAGTACATCTGCCTGTTCTGCTCCCCACTCTGTCTCTCGTGAACCCTCTCACTCCCCACCCCACCCACACCTCTGGCCTACACCCCAGCTCTTATATGCATAAATAAAGTAAATATTTAAGAAAAGAAGATGTAATACTTCTTTAATACTATTAAAGTGTAATATATTTAGCAATCAAAAAAGATAAACTCATGCCATTCACAGAAACATGGATGTAGATGGAAGGGACTATGCTCAGTGAAATAAGCCAAAAGAAAAATATCAGATGGTTTCCCTTATAGGTGGAATATAAGGGAACCAAATAAGGGATCAGGAAAATATATATATATAGTAAATAAAAAAATTAACAGCAACTGTAAATCAGAGACTTTCTGCAAAGGAGGGAAAGGAAGGGAAGAGCACAGGGGACTATGGTAACAATGCACAGGTGAAGTGCAGTGAGACTATTACAGGGATAACACCTATGAGGAGTAAGCATACATTGTACAAAAACGAATGATGTAAAATATATATTAAAGTAAAATATATTCTGTAGTTAATAGTGTATATTTCCAGGAGGTGGAGTTATGATTGACTCAGATTTTATAATTTCTATTTTTTTGCACCATCTGAAGTTTTTGCAGTAAGCACAATGATCCACTTTCTAAGGAAAGTGTTTTCACTTTTAGACATTATACCATGGGATATATTCCACAACCATCAGAAATGAAGTTTTACAAATATTTGTTAATGTGAGTAAATGCTATAATTTTATAAAGCAGAATGTCAGCTATTTTGTGAAACCAACTTTTTTTATTCTGGAATGAATTTTGTTCTCTGTTTATATATATAGATGTATATACACACATACACACATATACATATGTAAAATATGAAAATATACTGTGGACCCTCATGGTGGTGCAATGGGTGCACAGCATTGCAAAGCTGGCTGCATCCGTTTCCATACGAGTTCGATCCCCCGCCTTGGAGGTGATCCACATAGCACAGCAGACTTCTCCTGACCCACCTGCTGCTCCCCTTAGCAGTGTACTGCCTGTTCTGCTCCCCACTCCGACTCTGGTGAATCCTCTCACCACCCCTATGCCTCTGGCTTGTACCCCAGTTCTGTATGCATAAATAAATAAATCTTAACAGACAGGCAGACCAGTGGATTCAAATAGGAAACCTAGATACAAACCCACAGGTTTATGGGCAGCTAGTCTTTGACAAAGGAGCAAAGAATATACAGTGGAAGGAAGAAATTTGGTTC